ACCTCCGCGGCCGCTCCAGACCTCCTCTGTTAGCTGGGCTTGCCAGCGCTACGCCAACTGCGCCCGCTACGCCGCTCGCGTAAGGGGGAAGAAGGGGGCGGGGAGACGGTTCCGAAGGGCGGTTCCAAAGCCGCAGACGCTCGAGGCCGATTGGGTAGACTCGAATTAAAAAAAAAAAAGGGGGTGGGAAGGTTCTCGCCTCTCTATTGGCTCTGCGTGACCACGACGGCGGAAGGAGGATCGGCCATTGGAGGAGGAGCGACGTCACTCATGAAAGAAGAAAAAAGAGCTCCGCCCTCTGCACTGAATTTAAACTATACAAGGGGGGGGGGATGGAACGCTTGTCTTCTTCTGCAACCTGGCGCCCTCAGGAAGGTTAAACTCCCACGCCCGTCGTCCCCGGTCATCGTGGGATTAGATTTGGCATCTCTGTGGGGCACGGGGATGGGGATGCAAAGGTTGCTAGCTGAGTGGGATGGGAGGTGCCGAGGGCTGGGGTGATGGGAATTGTAGTCCAACAAATCTAGAGGGGAACAAGGAAAGGAAGATGGCTTTGTGTAGAGGATGATGGGGTTTATGATGAATCCTATCTGCTATGCACCATGTTTGGGAAGGCTGCTGCATCAGCATGATGGCGAATTGCAGGTTGGGAAAGTCATGTTTTTATCAACATGTCATGAGTTTGGGGCAAGTCTCAGCAGTGAGATAGAAAAGTACTCAAAATGAAATAAATTGTCCAGCATCCTGTTTTCCAGAGTGGCCAACCAGATGTTCCTCAGAGGCCCACCCAGCTGTTTCCTCTCCCCATCACCTTTCCTCTGAAATCGGAAGTTCGATGGCAGGATGCGTTTCCAACGTGCTGCACCACGGGGGATTCAGTCATGGTTTATCAAATAAAACCACAACTGGCTACATTTGCACAGCCCAGAGAGCCATAAACCATGGTTTGCCACCTACGATGGCTGGGTTCACTCAACAAAATGAGCCAAAAGGCAACCTGCCCCTTGGCTTGGTGCAGTGTGAGAACATATGCTGGCTGCCACAAGCTTAAAATTATGAGCACTATGGAGGGTCTAAGAATAAAACCCCTTTTGTAGAGTCTTCTCCTCAGTGGAAAAAGGAATACATTTTTCCAGCTATTAATACCAGGATGGAAAATGTCTTGTGATTCAGTCTTCTTAACTTCCCCTTTGGACTTCCCATGTGTTTATGCCAACAGATTATACATGTTGTAAAGTTTATTGGGACTATAAATCCTACTATTCTCATGCCTATTTATTCAACGGCTTTCATCAGAAATCTTTTGTTTCTTCAGAGGCTGTTTTATAATTAACTGGACTACAAGACTGATATTATAAATCAGTAGACTTGTGCTAAGTCACAAACAATAGTTGGCATAGCTTACTTGCTCATAGCTTAAATCATTAGGAGGGTTCATTCAACATACTAAACCATAAACCTTGGTTTATGACCCATACTTGCTAGAATCAAATGCAGAGAGACCACAGTTTGGGTTAGACACTGATTAACAAGCAAGCGACATCATGACAAAGCATGACTGTATAATTCCCAATCACAATACATAGCCTCTGTGACTCTCTTGGTTAAAGACTTTTGGCTCTTGTATGTATGAAGCAATAGGTGGGTGAACTGCAGTTTGTTAAGTCAACCACAATGGATGGGTTTCTACAGGATGCAAAGCCAGACCGAAGGCACCGCACCTCTTAGCACTATTTGTGAACCCAACCAGTGTTTGCACAGTGGAAGGGTGGGGATGACTTTAGGATTCCTCAAAGACCCCTCTCGTGGATTTGCTTCCCGTTTGCTTACTAATCCTCTAGTGAAGCTGTTGGGGTTCTGTGATTTTCTGTCTGCATGGCAATTGTGGCTTCTTCAACACACTATGGTTAATGATCTCCTAGCTTAGTACGATGTGAAGTTGACTGTTCCAACCCAGAGAAAATCAGCTTCCCACCATGATTGCTGTCTGGACGCTCAACAACTAGATCGTGCTCTGTCGTCTTCTGAAGTATGATGGTTATGGACCAGATGGCTGTTTTGCTACCCTTCCAGCTTACCACTTGATTCAAAGGCTCAGCTGGGTTTGTAGAGTGGCCTGGCCTGCCAACTACTAGCTTGACCTGCTTCCTCTCTCTCTCTCTCTCTCCCCTCTAAAGAACCCAGATGCTTTTATTCAGTTGAGGGTGTGGGGTGATCCCTTTTTGAAGCCTGACCATGCATGTTGGTCTGACTCAGAATCCCTGCCTGCCAGGAAACCATCTTGTCCCAGGGAGCTTTCAGCTGATAAGATGCCAACTGGACATTTTGGGCCATTAACCAACAAAGGTAGGCTTGGCTGGTGGCCATGAAATGTAATAGCACTTAATTGGCCTTGAGGGTTGTTATTACTTCCTGGTCTTTCTATTCTTACCAGCAAAAATGTCTCTGCAGCAGGAAGCAATGGAGAAAGGGCTGGGAAGGTTAAGCATTAGAGGGTTTTTTCCCCTTTCTTGCAGTAGAAGCAATTCTGCTATTTTTCTGGGACCCCAGAAAGCTGTGGGCCTCCTGTTACAGGAGATGGTTTCACATTTCTCCATCTGGGGAAGTGTTGGGCTTCCACTCCCTGATGGTTGAGACAGCTGGGGGGGGGGGGGGGAAAAA